TTTTAAATTTAAAAAGCAGAGTTACAGCAAACCCCTACCGCCCACCATGAAAGCTGGAACACCCACTAGCGGGCGGTAGGGACCAGGTTGACTACCATTGATTTAAGTCCTAAACCTTCTATGAAAACTTCATCACTGCATTCTATTGTCCTGATGTCAGGACATCAGTGGAGCATAGATAGAATATTTCAGCAAACAAACTTTTTATATTTAAAACGATACTAATGAGCATGTGAAATGGCAGCTTTGCTGTAGTGCCACCTGTAACAAAGATTACATCATTCATAGCAACCTGCAATCTATAAGATAGCTCAATTTTGAACTGTCTCAAATTCAAAACACTCCAAATGTGAGATATTTTGAATTTAAAACGTTTTTCATATCACCATGAGCTGTCCTGATTTCTCCTAGAATATTTCCTTTCTTACTCTGAGATAGCTTAGAATTAGAATTTCTATCTTCTACCCTTAAAAATAGAAAAGGATTGGATATATCAAAGATATTTTTCTGCAAGGAAAAATCCTACAAGAGTGTTTGTTTTCAGAAGATTGGATAAATGGAATGGACTTTTAAGAGACTTCATGTTTAGAACAGGAAATGTTTGAGTACAAAAGAACATATTTCATTATTTTCACCTTCATTTGCAAACAAGATACTGGGTTGTATGAATAGGTATCACTAGGGAAATTGATTCTGTTCATTGCCGATCATATTTGGATATAATTGTATTTGGAAATAGGATTTATTACTTGTTAGTGTAATATAAGGGTTAAGCTATTTGGCTGCAATGGAGTGGATCCAAATACATCCCCTTTCACACAACCTCTGGGAGATTCTGGATCAGGTGTCATGTTTTCCTGAAAATAAGACCTAACCAGAAAATAAGCCCTACACAAAAATAAGCCCCAGTTAGGCTTGTCAGACACGTTTAGTATTGTATTCCCCTTAAAATAAGACCTAACCAGAAAATACGTTCTAATGCATCTTTTGGAGCAAAAATTAATATAAAACCACCGAGTCTTATTTTCGAGGAAACACAAGTATTCTTCTTGCCCAGTCCTGCTAACTCTGCCATGGTCATTGTTGTGCGGATAAAGTCAGGAAGATTTCTATAGAAGTTTGAATCAACATAAAGATGGATAATAAATGCAAAGACTGAAATTAAAAGAGATTAAGAAGAAGTCTTCCATAAAAATCACATATTCTTACAATCTTTTAATTCCTCTGCAACATTGGCTTGTCTCACTGAAATAAACTATTTGTTACTGTTTGATGAACATTTAGCCTTTGGTGGCAAGAACTCAATATTGCAGCTTTGCATGCAGTGGGTCGTAAATTCAGTCTCTGACAATTCTAGTTGAAAAAGAAATCACAAAGTGGACTGTAAAACTAAGTTTCTGCTAATACAGAAAGACAGTTCATCTAGATTAGGGGCAACTTTAAGACCTGTGACTTCAACTCCCAAAATTCCCTAGCCAGCCCCTAACCATGTTGAAGAGTTGCCATTAAAATTTTTTTTTTATTTTGATAGAGATTTTATAGATTTATTTCTGTAATGGATTCTATTCCTTGGAAAGGCAAGGAAGCAACACAAACGCCTTTGTATAAGCCAAAATATCTGGTTCATATTGATTTCTTAGAACCGTGATGGTGATCCTATAACACGCATGCTCAAAGTGGCACTCGGAGCCATGTCGCCTGGCATGCACGATGTTGCCCATTCCTATTCTGGGTTTCTGGTGCACATGGGCGCATGATAATCAGCTGGCCTTCGTAAGTGCGGCAGTGCAGGAAATTGGAAGAGCTGGTCTTCTGGTTTCTGGCATGAGCGTGCGCAGCGTCCAGCTGATAGCCGCCCGTGCATGCCCGCCAATAACCGGAAGACTAGCTGGTTGGTGCGTATGCACATGCCGGGAACCCAAAGTTAATTTCCTGGCACGTGCATGCCCCCTGGGCAGCTTCCGAGTTGCATCCGCAACAAGTGTGCACGCGTTCCCCTTTAGGCACTTGGTGCCAAAAAAGTTCATCATCACTGTCTTAGAACATGCTTACGATGAAGAAATCTCAACTGTTGCAAATGGGGAAGACTAAATTCATCATGAAGTTGAGGAATCATTTATAGAGTTTATTTGTAATTTAAGTGTGGAGAACTTACTGAGGAGTATATAACAATTTGATAGAGTCCATTGAAACCCAAGCTGCGATTTAATAATTTCAGATATAATGTAGGTGATTGTTTAAAAGCCATGCAGTTAGGAATTCTTAGAGATTAAGTACTGAAAAATCTTCCACTTTAGTCTTTTGAAATTTAATTGATTTCAGAAACCTATTTAACACGTTCAATAAGAAACTGTTTAGGCTTTCTGTTTAATGGAGGAATGGCCTCTGTTTGGAAAAGCAATAGGAAACGAGGTAGTATTTCTATTTTTAGAGATACTACGATTGCTTAAATGTTAACTTTTACGCTTACCATGGTCAGAGATTCACTGACATTCAGAAATGTTCAAGATTTTTATTTCACTTTATATATTTCTACCTTATTATTTTGATTCCAAATAGAGAAACAAAATTTATGTTCCTCATTTGCTCCTTTTCCAGATAATTTGCTAAACAGAATTAGAATTAATAGTTTTAAGAATGAATCACAACAGAATTGTTTTCTTTTTTCATCTGCAAGAGAACAAGAAAGCTAATGGACTTAATTCATCTCCTTAGTTTTCATTTTTGTACTACTATGTTAGACTATGCTTATTATGAAACATGCTTTAAGTGGAAACTGTACATATATAGTACATATCACCCCAGGGACTTTTCCCATAATCTATAGGACACAGTTCATCTGCTGCTGCCTTCTCATGTCTGCTATCTTGTCAGATAACAGAAGCATCTTTTCATAGAGGGCTCTAGTGCTTGTGCTAGAAACTGGGAACTCATGGCGAGGCATTTATAAAATAAATGTAATATTTTTCATTAATGAAATTCTTTGTTTCCATCTTTTAG